GCTCAGTGACTAAATCACTGCCTAGTATGTATAACTTTCCAGGTTCGAATCCCATAAAGGGTATGGCTAACTGATGAAGGCAAAAAAGCCAGAAATGGTCCATCTTAGTCTCCCAAGTTAATTCTTTACTCTTTGTCAGAAAAAAAGAAATTTGGATATAAAAATATTTCGCAGTTGCGACTTGAGCCTGCTCTATGCCTCTAGTTGGGGGCGGCAAGGCAAGAGATACTGTAAAAAGAGTAAAACTGCAGTATGCAGTTGAAAATGTCAATTTTAACCTTCAGTTTCAAAACAGAAACATAAATTTATTAAATTTTACAAAAACTTAAATCTTTCTAATATAAACACTCTGGAAAAATTGCATTGTCAAATGATACCACTTTGGTACTGCATCTTGGCACTCAATCTGGGATATTCCATGGCAAAAAAAGGGGTGTGTGTGTCTGGGGACGGCTGTGTGTTGTCCATCCCAGAGGTAAGGAAAGACACAAAAGTGGTATTGAGGAAGAGAACACCCTTGTTTTCTTCTTTCTTTCTGTTTCCCCATTTTCCCCACTCCATTACACCCAGGGGTGACTAATCAAACTTGCTATTAAAAATCATCTTCCAAGTGCTACAGAGCTACACGTTTAATGATGATTAAGTACAAATTCATATTACTTGATTTATTTTTACATTTCTATTTATGTGTTCTAGGTATCCGGAAGCCAGGGCTGTTGAAAGAAAAATTGTGTTTCATGCTGGCCCTACAAATAGTGGGAAAACCTATCATGCAATCCAGAGATATTTAAAAGCAGAATCCGGAGTATATTGTGGTCCTTTAAAACTCTTGGCCCACGAAATCTTCCAAAACAGTAATGATGCTGTCAGTATGTCATTGAATTTCCATCTGATATTGCCTTTGTTGCACTCATGCTGTTACATGGAACATTGTTGGTGGTTAAAAAAAAATGTGTGTTGTCAGTATCTGTCTGGAGTCCAAAAACAGCTTATAAGGTGGGGTGAAAAAACAGAGTTTTAGGGACAGTGGGTGTGTTTTAAGGTTGTAGTATTTTTCAAGGGCATTCCTAATTTGCAGTCCGCTAAAGATAACAACAAAAAAGGTGGATTTCAACTAACTGCATTGGCCATTAGAAAGCTTTCACCACTGGAATGGGGAAGATACAATTGTCAGTTGTTTTCACTCTTTTCTATAGTGGAAATGAGCTACCCCCAGAGATCAGGGTGATCCCTGATCTCCCTTCCTTCCGCCGCGCCCTTAAGACATGGTTATTCCAACGTGCAGGACTGGCCTAGGGGAAAATTTTAACGGGGTTTTAAAGTATTTTAAATTAACTTGACCTAATTCTAATATTTGTTTTTATTTATGTTTTTAAATTTGTAGTTTTTTGGGGATTAATGTTTTATCTGGTTGTTAGCCGCCCTGAGTCCGTAAGGAGAAGGGCGGGATATAAATTAGATTAATAATAATAATAAAATAATAATAATAATAATTTACTAATCCTCTCGGAAGTCTGCCCTGGAAGAATCCAAATCTTTCTGGACCATGTTTTCAGAGAAAAAGAGAATTCTTCCACTGCATTCTAATAATAGAAGTCTTCCACTGCAGATTATGTGAATCCATTATGTCACGGGACCACAGGTAGAGCTCAGTTAACTCTTTCAGCAACCATTCACAGTTACAATGAATATACTTATGAATGGATCTCAAAATGGCAGCCATCCTGGCACTCATACAGTCACATGAACCCAGTCTGGGTGCTTGGCAACTGGTTCGCACTTAGGATGTTGCAGCATCCTGCGGTTATGTGATTGCCATTTGTGACCTTCCCTACTGCCTTGCCAGAACAAAGTCAATGGAGAAGCAGGCAAGGAAGGTTGTAAGTCACTCTGGCAAGTCACCCTCCCTCACTCCCCTTTGGCCCCACTGCATTCATACCTCACCAGCCATCCACACACCTTCCCCATCCGGTAGTAGCAAACCTCCTGGGACTTGCAAGGAGGCCCTTGCTTGATGATAGTAGTGTTGTTTTGTTAGGAATAATAGGAGCAAATTATGAGAAAGATTGTATATATTTAATTCTACACGTACTAACTGCAGCAAGAATTGTATTTGCCCAACATTGGAAAAATGAAAATTTACCAACTGAATAAGTATTAATTAAGAAAATTTTAGAGTGTGCAGAAATGGACAGATTGACTTTAAAGATAAAAGAGAAAGAAGACTCAGTGTATTTCAGAACATGCAATAATTTCTATCAGTGGCGAGAAACATGAGTTAGAGAGAAAGGAATGTGATATTTAACTTTGAATATATATATATATATTAGTAAGAAGAAGGCTATTGAGCGATTAATTAACATATTATTTATGATAACTAACTATTATCTATTATTTCTTATTAAACACATGAACCCAGACATTATGCTGTTTGCTAAATATTGAGAATGTTATTTGGAATAACCCTAATCCTAACCCTAACCCAAATCCCAACCCAAATCCCGATCCCATCTCATTCCTAACCCTATAAAAACTAATAAAATTTATACTCCCAAAAAATGATAGCAGTGTTGTTGTCGCTAAGCAAACCAATAATTTGATGTCACACTCCACAGCTGCATCACATAGCGATGAAAGTTTCAATCCCAATTATCATTGTTAAGAGAGGATTATCTGTGGTTTTGTTATTGCTTTCAAGTGCTTTGTTGGACTTTTATATCCTTGAGGGAAATATTTATTTTGCTTTTTTTTTAATGTTATAGAATGTACCATGTGACCTGGTTACGGGAGAAGAACGAGTCTGTATTGATCCTGAAGGGAGGGCAGCTGCCCATGTTGCTTGCACTATTGAGATGTGCAGTGTTAATACACCTTGTATGTATGCTTTTAAAAAAAAACATATTTAGTTTTGAAGTGCTTATAATATTTGTATATAAAATTGTCCGGAAGAGAAAACACAAAATAGTTTTTAAAATGAACAAATGCCCATTTCCAAGATTTCATTACGGAAATGCCTCTTACTTCTGTAGTGAGAGTTTATGAATGTTAGTAAACTTTAAAATTTGATAGATAAATAAATGACTCTTTTATTGCATGCTGTTTTTTAAGATGACGTGGCTGTGATTGATGAAATTCAGATGATTAGAGACCCTTCTAGAGGCTGGGCCTGGACACGAGCACTCTTGGGTATGTCTTTGGAAAGATTATTATTATCAAATGGTGTTATCATAATCCATATTGTATTTAATTTGCAGCATAGTTTTTCAGAGCAATCTTCCCATATCTAAAGCTCTCCAGATTTCTTCAGAGTACATTGGCCAACACTTTCAGTCATGGAAAAAACCCACGTTTGGGTGTCTTAGATATTTATTCTAAGAAAAGGGTCTTCAAACTTGGCAACTTTAAGACTTGTGGACTTCAACTCCCAGAATTCTTCAGCCAGCCCTGGCTGGCTGAGGAATTCTGGGAGTTGAAGTCCACAAGTCTTAAAGATGCCAAGTTTGAAGACCCCTGCTCAAGAACAACACATGGAGTTACTTCTGAGTAGTTTCTTTATTATTGCTTGTCTACAAAGGAGTTTCTTTATTATGTTTGCCTACTCTTGTCAGACTAAAGCAATTAATCTGCATAACTATAGACATACTCTGATCTGCTAGGGAGGGGCCATCTTATCCTCTTAGCAGACATTCCAAGCTCCACTGCCTTTTAGCCCTCTGGGGAAGAGCCCTTCCTCCTGGCACTACATATCACCACAAAATGGCTGACTGGGGAATTTCAAAATTGGAGCCCACGTGTCTTAAAGTTGCTGAGGTTAAGAAACGCCACTATAAACAAAGCATGTTGTTCCATGAAAATATTTTTTTGTAATGCTTGCACATCATTATTTTGTTCAGGACTTTGTGCAAAAGAAGTCCATGTTTGTGGTGAAGAGGCTGCTATTAACTTAGTGACAGAACTCATGTATACTACAGGGGAACAGGTTGAGGTAGGTGCTCTGCTCCACTCTCTGTATGTCCAGGATAAGAAAGGAGGCCCAGTGGGTGGAGCTGCAAGAAAATGGGGGGGGGGGGTCCTGGAGTTTGGGAGTTCATTTTAAGTCTTTTTCAGTCTTTCCCTTTTTTCTAAAATATATCTTGTACTGTAGCCCTTATGCTATGGCTTTCATGTGATTCCCATCTCAAAGTAATGGTAACTATATTTCTGATTTTGAGTAATGGACAAAATGGAGTTTTAGGGTTGCAAAAAAGTGGCCCAGGATCTTTTCAGCACCTCTGAAACCTCATATTGTCCAATCTAACGTGCAGACTTCTTCCAGTTGCTTTTCCTTAAGAGGTAAAATAGATGGAATATATTAAAAGTCATTCCCTCCACCAGCGTTTCATATCTTTAAAGCTAAATTGCTCAGTGATATTTATATACAAATTATACAGTGCTTTTAGACTCTTTTATTGTCTCTATATTGGCCACTATTCTAGAAATGTAATTTGATTTTGAGGTTACCCCACTCCAAAAACATTCTGAATTCTGAAATTCACTTAGATGTGAAACCTACAGAGGGAAATATTGTTCTCAAAGTAGCAGTTTTTATTAATGACTAAAGCAGAAAGCAATTTCTAGTGAATATACAAGTTATTTTTCCCCCAACA